GTTAGAGGTTGTTTTGGATAATGAATTAGGCTGGAATATTGTATATAATATAAATATCAAAATCGTTTCTAGATATTTGACTTCTAAATCACTTAAAATGTTCGGTGACAGAGTTACAGGCAGATTAAATCAAATATAGATGTTTTTATCTCAAGAAAGATTTTTATAAGTGCTAACAGAGTTGGAATATACTATTTGTTACTTCTTTTTCACAATTTTTACTTCTTTTTCACTATTTTTACTTATTTTTCACAATTTTTACTTATTTTTATTATTCTTTAACAGATACTAACAGAAATATATAATAATGAATCCTAACAACTACTAACATGATTTAAGACATAGCATTTTAGAGTGATGTTGTATAACACTTATAATGACTTGTGAAATTTGGTGCATGAAGAAAAACCGTAAGTGTTGCTGATAAAATACTAAATGTGATGACTCAATTCAGGAAAACTTGACAGGGATAGGATGATATGTAGAAGGATGGACTCTGTCTGGCTGGTTGCCAGCAGGGTGTTGTGCTGTTTGTGTTTGTGTCTCTTATCACCTGTTTTACCTAAGATGAAAAAGATCCAGGAAGGGTGAATGCAGGGATCACCTGTGTGAGTTTGTGATCAACGTTCCCACAGAGGTGACAGATGAGTATGAACCTGCAATATGAACCCATTGACTTACCAATAATGAAAGTTAATTGATAATTATATATTGATAATGAAAATTATAGAAATTTAGTTAGATGACTGGGAGTTTTGTGAGATTGTGGGAGAAGGATGTTTATTCTTTTTCCCCTGATAATGCAGCTCCAAACGAGTCGCTGACAGAGGGGTTGCAAGTCCAATGACGGGGGTTTGAATAATGGAGGCCGGACAGATGTCCGAGGAAATGCCACTGATGAGGGGGAATAAGTCACTGGTTCTACTCCCTGGGCTGAGAACATCATGCATCAAATTAGGGTTCTTTAAGTTTCATACTGATCTGGCTGTGACAGTTTATTAACATCAAATTGACATCACTTATCATTATTAACATCTAATTAACGTTACTAGCACAGTAAAGGGTTTTCTATTTTCAGATTTTACTTTTAAACCTATAGATGGAGGAACATTTAAAAATATATATTTTTAGCCAATCAAACACTTTGAAACTGTGAACTTTCTGATTTTATTAAGCTATGAGTTAATAAATAATAATTGCTCTACTAGAGTTTTTGGATTTTTACATGTACTGAAATGATTATAGAACACTGTTTTGACATTACAAATATTATAGGTTGTGTTTACAATGCTAATCAATTGATGATGTGATTATATCTAAAGCAAAGTCTTGGGGATTTTTGAACGATAAATTAGAACAACTGCTATTATAGATAAAAAGCACTATTTTGAAAGTAAAATTACAAATTTCCTATCTGTTAATTGATTCCAAAACTGATTATTTGAATGTGGAAGTAGACACTTACAATTTTTATTTGAAACTAACAGGTTTTTAGAGTGAACTTCTTGATGTTATAACTAAGTGGCCCCTCCTAGTAGTGTGTTACAACCTAACGGGGAGGATGTCAAACACGGGTGAATATAACAGGAAGTTTAACAGATATTATGAAGATAAGTTGTGGAAATTTTTTAACAGACGGCGGGGCATGGCCTGGGCCTGGTCTGGGGTATTGGCTCTTCTCCGCTCAAGAATGAATGGGTTTACCTCCTGGGTTTGGGCATGGGCTGCCCCCTGTAGAGGGCAGGTACATGTCTTGGACCTGGGGAGTATAGAGTGTGTATCGGGAATAAGAATGAAATGTATCGTTATTGTATGTCTTTGAGTGAATGAATGTGAGAATGAGACTGGGATTGTGTGATTGTGTCTGTGTATGAATGGGTATTTGTTAGGCCGAGACTCGGACTGCCCCCTCTTTGATACAACTGCGGGTGCTTGGCATCGCGCCCCTATCGCGCGGCCCCCTGGTGGGGTGTGCCCTTGCCTGCCAGCGCGCTTGGGGCCCTTGGAGTCGGGGGCTGGGCGCTTGGGCTTGTGTCGGCTCGGCCTGGTGTCTGCCTGGTGGGGCTCGGGTCCTCTGGCCCTGTCAGGCCTTGGCCTGAGTGGTGTGGGTCCTCGGTGCCCGGGCCTCCGTGCCCGGGCCTGGACCTGCATCGGTGCGGCGGGTTCCGGCGGGGGCCTTTGAGTTCGTCGCTGTTGGCCCCGGGGTTCACTGTGTGTGGTCGCTGGTGGGGTTCTTCCGGCTCTCCCCTGTGGTCCGATCTGGGGGGTGGGCGGGTGTTTCGTCCTGTGTGGGTGGCCCGGGGGGCTCCGCGGTCGGGGTCCCTCCTGGGGTCTTGGGCTCTGGTCCCCCCTTTTTCGTCTGCCTCTGGTCTTGGGGGTCGGGTCTCTGCTGCTTCACAGTTACTAATAAATGTTCTATTAGAGAAGCCTTATACACTTATGCATGCTCACAACCACACACAAATAGAAGCAGGGATGCTTATGTAGGCTTTATATGTAGATATATAGATATGTATATGAATGTATATTCATGTGTATGTATGTACGTATATAGGCGTAGGTATGGGTATATATATTTATGGAAACTTACTGCAAAGCCATGAATATTTTAAGTTCTTTATACATATGTATTTTGTTGCTGTGTTTTGTCATGTTCTTTGCAGGTGAACAGACAGTGGCCGGGTGTTTTGCCGTGTGCTCTCTTTGTGTCTATTTCTTATATTTTGGAGTCTTACTTTGTCTTTTCTTTCTTTCTATCTAGGCAGATGTCCAGGGCTGGGTCAGGCGACCTGAGGCTGCCAGGTCACACGCTGTAGCCTGTAGGCATCTCCCGCCAACATATAAGGAGTAGTTCACATTCAACCAGAGGAAAAGTGATTAATTGCTTGCTTATCTGGCGGTATTGAACTGGGAGTTTTTATGCGGGGGAACCCCTTCGGGGACCCCCGCCCAGGGGGAGTTGTTAAGATATTTCTGGACTGGGCCTATGGTTTTGATCTGCTCAGAGACGGGATTGTAACGAAATTATGACCCGGTTCTGACTGGGTTAAACTGGTCCAGCAGCTCTAAGAGAGTCTCCCTAGGATTCAATATCTGTCACGGAATAGAGTCTGATCTGCTTGCCACATCACGTAGAAAGGCTTTTGAAGCACCGTCTCATATTTCCTAACACGTCAGTCCACATAAGATCCACTGAGATCACACTTAGTCACGCCCCCTCATACACTGATAGGTTGAGCTGTCCTTCTGCGAAGGTGGAGTCTAGGACCCTATAAATGAGTAATGACACGGGACATCGGGGCTCTTCTTCCGGGTCTGTGAACGCGTGAGAGTCCAGCGCTGTAAATCGTAATCTTTTCCTGCCTTTTTTAATATAATTGATAAAACTTAATTGACGTTTCCTTGATTTATTGATTAGCATGAGTTGCCACTTCTGAGGGAGGTTCGAGTCGGGGGAAAGACGTGGGCTGGAGGGGGTTTCCGGGTCCGCAGCCAGCTCCCGTCACACAGTGGTGTGTGGATGCCAGTGGGATTATTAGGGTGGTGATCAGGCATCTTCTTAGTCCCTGTTATATCTCTTTTTTATAGCATCTGCTGGACATACAGACTCTCACCATCACAAGTGTAACTACACCAGGAAAGTTGACAAACGACTTCACTTCCTGGTTCCTGGCTTAGAAGACTGACACTGATCTGTACCCCATGTGGATGGTTTGAAGCATTTCGTATTAAGTCGTCATCTCACCCTGCTGGTGGGCGACTGATTGTACCTGGATTATAGATTATGACCTGAACTGTGGAGCAGAACAACTGGAACGATTCTTGACTCAGTGGTGTTCATGCACTCTTTCACTGATGACCTTCAGATTTGAGCTCCTCCAGCTATTTTAAATCATCTTTAGGTTTATAACCTACTTCAGTAAACAAGAGTTGAATCTCCTCGTCTCCAGTCCTCAGTGTTTGTGTGACGGGAGGGTCAGACCAGGAAGCGGCCTGAGGCTGTGACTGGCAAGTGCTACATCTACTTTAGAAACTAGCGTGATTTCACTGCAGGTGTCTGCTGGTCTTTCACCTTCATGCATTGAGGTGTTAGCCAAAGAACTGCATCATTAATACGATATACTGTAGTTGTACAGATTAATGCACAGCTGTAGGCCTCGAGGGCCCAACGTGTGTCAGATCCTCTCTAAATTATATCAGACATGAAATTCCTCCGTCTTCAATAAATGACATGTCTAAGACGACAACCCCAAACATCTTTGATCAACATCCTCCACCATCAAAAACCAGCCAGTGTTGATCAGTTTCCTGGAGGTCCGAGGTCCAGACAAGCATCAGTTTACTAAGATTACAAGTGTTATGCCAAAGCCCCATGTCACTGACGGACTGGAGAGTGAACATTGTTCAGTCTCTTTCTGCTAAAAAGCTACTTTTTTGTGCCAATTTCAGTTTTTTCTCTTCTAAATTCAACCTTTTTAGGCCTTTTTCTGCTAATTTTTGCTCATTTCTACCTTTTGTGCTTCTAATAAGTTTGGCTTTTTATGCTCCTTTCAGCCTCTTTTTGCCAATTTCAGCTGTATTTATTTTTAGCCTTTTCATCTACCTTTCTGATAATTATTTTTTCCTGATCATTTGTTTGTTTTTAGTTTCGACTTTTAAAAAAATCTTTTTAATCCATCTCCGTCTGCCTATTTCAGCTTATTCAGCTCATTTCTGGAACATTTCTGTTTTTTCAAAAGATTTCAGCCATTTTCTGCTGCTTTCAGCTTTTATGTTCCTACTTTCAGCAAATGTCAGCTGTTCAAATTCAGCTCACATTAACAGTTCAGAGATGAAACCATTCAGCAGAAATCATCCACGCTGCCTTTTAACAGGAAATCTCGTTATTTTATGTTATATTTCTGATCCCTGCCATGACAACTGTTCCGTTAACTCATTAAATAAAATAAAACTTGTAAATGATCTTCAGCAGAAGTTGTGATTTTTGACTCAATATCAGTTTTAATGGTTTATCTGGTAAAAACAAAAGCAGATGGATTCATGCAGGCTTATAACAGTTTTTAATTAAATACAGTTTTAATTAAGTCACTATGCAAAAACAATACACCTCCTCCACAGATGTCGTGCAGATTAACTGTAATCCAGTTTAAAGTGCCTAATCCAACACTTTTACTTTGTTTTAATGTAAACAATTAAAAAAAAGTTTCTCGAACTAAATGATTTCTTCTTCTCTGATCATGAATCATGAAGTGAATTATTTTCAGGAATAATAAGTCAAAGTCCGTGTTGTGTTGATTATTAGTAAAGCAGTGTGATGTGATCGTCTGTCTCCTCATTGTCCCACCTCCAGAGTGGTGATGGTCTGGAGCTCAGAGGAAAACTTCTCCCTGAGATCTTGGTTGGCCTGCAAGAAGGCCTGCAGCCTCCTCAGCTGCTCCGTGTCCTGAGGACAGCAGGAGAAGACGTCAAACTCGTGTCTTTTGACCCGCTCTGTTTAAACTCTTTGTTCCTCCTACCTGTGTCTCTGAATCGACACCATCTTCAGCACAAAGACACTCCTGCAACATCTCCTGGAGCAGCTCAGCTTCCCATTGGCCGACTAACTCAGCGCTGGCCTCTAATTGGCTGTCAGCGTCTGAGTCTGGTCCAGCGGAGTCCATCCGGTCCACACCAAAGACACATATGGACAGATCAACAGTCAGCATCTGCACAAACAAAAAGAGCAAACGCACAAAACATGTTTAAGGACTAAGTGTCCAACGGTGGACGGATCCTGCAGCGGGACACAAAGACGCTCACGTCTTCTATTTGTTGTCCCACAGTGGACATGTGGGGGACGTCCTGACTGAGCTGCTGGACAAAGTGTTTGAGAGTGCCGCGGTAGAGTTTGATCCATTCGTCCTTCACCCGGAACTCACAGGAGTGCATCAGTTCATTCCTGTACTGGATCACCTGGACACACAGAGACAGGAAGGGGTTTAGACCTGCCACTTCCTGTTGGACATTTTGAAACTTGTCTGAGGCCACGTTCACACAACTCATCTGAATTTTATTAAAACCATCATCAGTCTGAAGGTGACTGATTTATTAAATCTGATCCAGGTCATTTTCACATGTGGTTCTGAATCGGATACAGATCTGATGTTTTTCAGCTCAGTCTGAACGCTCGTGCCTCATTCAATCAGTCAGAGGTGAGCGGATCACGCCAAGTGTTAACAACAACAAACGGGACACCTATGTCCCGTCGCTGAGGGGTTTGAACAGTGAAGGTTTGTAGTTTGGAGAGGAGTGTTTTTCTGGACTGGAACAGAGAATGAAGTAAACCTAAATGCTTTTAATGTAAGATATTCATGTGGGTCAGAGTTACTGAGGAGAAGAGCAGAGGGAGATTTGTTTTTTTTCTTGTTTGAGGCAGAGCAGAGTGACGGATCCTGGGGGACGGAGACATTTTATCACCACCAGAAGCAGTGGAGGAGCCAAAGGGTGGCCAATGGTGGCCTTGGACCCATAGATTACACTTTGGCCACTCCATAGCTGTAGCTGCAGCTACAAACTAAAACAGAAGTCCATAACTTGGTTATTGAGGCCTGAAGGCAGCACCTCTTATCATTCACCTGAGGCGGCTGTGGCTGAGTGGTTAGAGCAGTCGTCCTCCAATACAAGAGATGGGGGTTTGATTCTACCAGCAGCCACATGCCAAAGTGTCCCTGGGCAAGACACTGAACCCCTCATTGCCTCCCATGTGTGCCCCATCAGTGTATGAATGTGATAAAGCTCTGATTAGTCTCTTTAGACTGATTTGTTCAATTATATTTGTAGAGATCTAGTAGAGTGCTGTAGGAATGGGTAAATGAGGCACAGATTGTAGTGTAAAGAGCTTTGAGTATCTTGATAAGACAGAAAAACATTATATAAATGCAGTCCATTTACCATCCACCTGAAGAGGGTCTTGTCATTACACGATCTGTTCTGGAAGCACGATCCATACTGTAGCTCATTTGCACATGCACTAAAAAGAATATTTCTGGGTTGCACGGATCGCCTTTGAATATGCTAGATTAAGGAAAATGTACTCAAAATAATTACTTTATGTTAATAAAATACATTTATGAGACATACCACATTTAATAAAGTTAATTAAAATATATCTTTCTATTCCTTCAACGTTTATTTAAACAGATAAGTCACATTGAGCCTCGAAGACTCATTTACAAGTGAAACCTGTTTGGACAGACAATACAAAGTGGTGAAAAATGACACGGGGTTTGGAGACAAAAAAAATTCCTAACGCTCTTTCTTAACTTCTGAAGGTCAACAGCATGATAATGAAAAAATCTCGCACACTAGCACATAAAGACACAGACATTCCACATGGGGGGGGGGGGGGGGGGATGCAAGGGCGGTGAGCATATGTCGAGACAACACACACAGAGGCACTGCAGAGTTCAGATAAAATCACTCAGTTCAAAGAGTTCCCTCTGGAGGGATCCGTACACACTCGGGGGGTGCAGAGGACGACCGAGGACAAGTCCAAGAGTCCTGAAATGATGACAGAATGTTTATTCAGTTGGGCCCCTCTGAAAAGTCCAGGGAAATTCCTCAGTTGGAGGAGAAGGAGGGACAGAGCATCAGGTTTACAAAACTTCCAGGCGGGTTGAGATAAAATGGCCTGTCAAGGCCAGTCAGGGAGCTGAATTCAGATAAACACAATTGTTTCAATTCAATTCAAAAATACTTTATTAATCCCAGAGGGAAATTAAATGTTGTTGTAACTCATCATCCTGGTTTCATTAAAGAGTTGTTATAGATGCTGATGGCTGTGGGCAGGAAGGATCTCTTGTAGCGGTCTGTCCTACAACGGATTTGAAGAATCCTCTGACTGAAGACACTTTGTTGTTGTATGACAGTCTGATGAAGAGGATGCTGAGGGTTGTCTATAATGTTCTTCATTTTATGAAGAATCCTTCTTTGAACAATCATCTTCAAAGGTTCTAGAAGAGTCCCCAGAACTGAGCCAGCCTTCTTTATGAGCTTGTTGATCTTTTTTAAGTCACTTGCTCTGGTGCTGCTACCCCAGCCGATGATGGCAGAAGAGATGGCACTCTCTACAACAGACTTGTATAACATATGCAGCATCTTGCTGCAAACGTTGAAGGACTTGAGCTTCCTCAATAAGTACAGTCTGCTCTGTCCCTTCTTGTAGACAGCTTCACTGTTGCATTTCCAGTCCAGTCTATTGTCCAGGTGAACTCCAAGATATTTATACTTCTCCACCACCTCCACTTCTTCTCCCATGATGAAAATAGTGTTGGATCTGTTCCTGATTCTCCTAAAATCTACAATCATCTCCTTTGTTTTGTTCACTTTCAAGATGAGATGATTGTTTCCACACCATGCCACAAAGCGATCCACCAGTTCCCTGTACTCAGCTTCTTGTCCATCTCTGATACACCCGACTACTGCAGAGTCATCAGAATATTTCTGCAGATGACAGGAATCTGTTTTGTACTGGAAATCTGAGGTGTACAGAGTGAAAAGGAATAGTGAGAGTACAGGCCCCTGTGGTGCTCCTGAGCTACTGACCACCTGGTTAGACACACAACCCTTCAGTCTCACAAATTGTGGTCTGTCCGTCAGGTAGTCTTTGATCCAGGCGATTGTTGAGGCCTCCACCTGAGTCTTCTGAAGTGTCTGACAAAGCAAATCAGGCTGGATTGAGTTAAATGCACTGGAGAAATCAAAGAACATGACTCTCACAGTGCTGTCTGCCTTTTCTAGATGACAGGGAGTTTGCTGAAGCATGTGTATGATGGCATCTTCAACTCCAAGTCCACGCTGATAAGCAAACTGCAGTGGGTCCTGATATGTGCTTGTTTGTCTAGTCAGGTGGGTCAGCAGAAGTCTGTCTAGGACCTTCATGATGTGGGATGTCAGGGCAACAGGTCTATAGTCATTGAGGACTGATGGGTGCGTTTTCTTTGGCACTGGAACAAGACAGGATGTTTTCCACAACACTGGAACCTTCTCCTGGGTCAGGCTAAGGTTGAATAGGTGCTGCAGAACCCCACAGAGCTGCTCTGCACAGACCTTCAGGACTCTGGGACACCATCTGGACATGCAGCCTTATTCCGGTTCAGTCTCTCTAGCTGCTTCTTCACCTGACTTCTGGAGACACAGAGGAGGGAGGCAAAGGAGGTATCAGCATCTTCTGATTTAGTTGAAGACCAA